ATACTTAAGGCCGGCACTCATAATTGCAAATTATTTTCACCTTTTCGTGCGGAGTATAACTCATTACAGACTCGGTATCAACCGGCCATTATTCGACCGTTTGAATCAATATCGAAATAAGCACAGCTTTGAATAATCGGAGCTTCACGAAGTTATAATTATTTGTCAAATGATGTGTCAAATAACCATGAGTGCCGGCCTAACTTTCGACTCGGGTATTTCTGTCCTCGCCCGTTAAGATCGGAAAATTTCGTAAAATGTTTTGACACACCTGGAAGCGTATGACGTGTCGCTGTCTGTATCCCGACGTGCAGCATCCTCACTTTCGGGTGCTCCGTCGTGGTACTTGAGATAATATCTTGTTACACTGATGCTGGCATTTATTCGTAGACACGATTCAATTGTAAGTCTAACAAAAAAATACGTGTTATATCGCGACACCGACTAGAGTCCAAGTAAACGTTTAAAGAGTCCACGAGATTGATAACGCGCCGACCTGCGTCGCGGTTTGCGCTCATTGGTAGCTCAAGCTAGACTGGATCGCGGAAAGGTGCGGGAATCCCAAAACGATCAGGAAAGGGAAAATCATTCCCCACCAATCTTCAACTTTCGCCAATCAGTGACGTGTATTCGTATCAGTCGGAAGATTACATATTGCCCAAACATTCTGCCAGATCCGCCTTGAATTTGTCAACGCCTTCTTTTGTTCTCAAAAAGTTATTAATATTACACCGAATCTGAATTTAAATTCCTACTGATGCATATTCATTATCGCCGCGCATACGCAACTGTCATCTTCATCCTTGTAACCCTTTCCCTCTTTTGAGTCCTCAAGTGCTATTGAAAGTTGCAACGTCAATGAAAAATGATAACGAACGAGTTATGAAAAAAGGAAGGTTACCTCGTTCGTCCATTAATATTCTCATATACCCGAAACTAAAAGGAGATCAAGTGCGGATAAAATAGCGGGGCAACTAAATGTTAAATAATTTCGAGAGAAATCCTTCACATGCGACAGGAAAGAAATAATAAGTGACTCTTTATCGCAGAACAAAGCCTATATGAAGTTATATATTGAGATCCTCCACTGATTCTTCAAGTTGGATTTCACGGGGTTGTAACGTAAAGCCAGATTAAAAATTTCGGGTAACCAGACGGGTATAAAGGGTACACGGGGATCGCGATTTCGACAACAGACACCGTTCGACTTGTCGAGAAATACTTTCCGACAGGCGGCATGCGGTATCGGCGAAACGTTATGTGCTTGTGGCGTCAAAAGACCGTGCTTATTCGGGACGAAACATGGTGCGGGGTGCTCGGTCGACAGTACTGAATGCGGCGAGATTATGTATCCGTGAAAAAACTGACACACTCTCTCTCTCTCTCTCTCTCTCTCTCTCTCTCTCTCTCTCTCTCTCTCTCTCTCTCTCTCTCTCTCCCACCGGTAAATAAGATCCTCCGCGTTCTGCCGCTTGCTCTTCAGTACTTGAATCCAACCTCCGAGCCCTCGCTCGCCCGTCCGCTCCTATCGGAGAAACGAGCCCGAGAGACGTTGCTTACTTCGCGAAGGTGGAAAGCGCCTTTTTTGTGCCTCTTAAGCTCGGGCTACGCTTTTCTCGCCTCGGTGCTCCGAACGGAATATCAGTTTACGCGCGGAACCTCCTCGACGCCGCTACCGCCGCCGCTGCCGCTGCCGCTGCCGCTGCTGCTTCTTCTTCTTCTTCTTCTTCTTCTCCACCTTTTGCTCCTCCAGGCAACTTTGTAGCGGAATATGGCCGTTCACTCGTGTCGATCTCCTAGAGATTCTTCCACCATGCTCGCGGGACGCGAGAGCATATCCGATATCGGCGCCAATAAAAACTGCGAGTGTTTCGGTTCCACTTTTGCGCGCCCGTCGATAAATTACGCCTGAGTAAGGATGCTTTACGATAGCATGATAGGGCAGAAATATCGGTACTTCGCTCGCGATATCGATTACTCTTGTATCCTTCGAGACGTGTAGCTACTAAACACATTGTCTCTCCGAGCTCTGTAAACTCCTTTTTCTTCTTCATCGTCCTGTTCCGCTGATTTGTCTCGTCCACCGTTTTGACGATGCAAACGCGGCGTATCACATTCCCCGCATGTTATTTCGCGCGAAAGAATAAGAATCTTTGTACGAGATTTGCTCATTGGTAACTGTGCGACAAGTTTTACCTTCTTAAAATAACGTTCTCACACGAACGCGACGAAAGAGGTAAAAAGTGCGTCCCTTATGTCCACTCCGAATGAAACCGCGATAAAATCATTATACAGCGGTTTCATGCCTCTTTTTCGAACGCACCGCGTGCGCATGCGCTTCCGATTTATCTTCTATATCACGTTCATTAACGTCGTTAGTTGTTAGTGAAACGGAAATGTGCTTATTACTGTTGCGAGAGCATCAACGATTTGTCGATATAATACGATCGTAGTAAGCTTGTTGTGCGCGACTCGTCCTTCACTAATGAATCGAAAAAAAATTTTGCGACAGACTTCAATCTTCCTTTCCTCTATATACATACATATATACATACATATATATGTGTGTGTATATATATATATATATATATATATATATACACACAGGATGTCCTAAAAGTAACGGATCACCCTAATAACTCTTCAGTATTGAAGTTTCAAGGAAAATGATCTGAATAAAAGTTGTAGGGATTTAAGTGAGTTACCTTATGATGACCTTGACTTTGACCTTGACCTCTATTTTCAGTCATTTGAAGGTCAACTTGCGTTTTTTAAATGGGAACCCTTATTTTTTATTACATTGTTTTTTTCTACTAGTTAATTTGAACAACTTTTATCTAAAACATTTTTTTATTTGTCTAATATTTTTTTGAGATATTTGAGGAAAATTTGATAACTTTTTCAATATTTAACTTACGATATCTCGTTAACTATTTGTCGGAAAAAAAAGTGGTGCTAGACTTTCATGCTTTATTTAGTCTCAAGAATATATTGTTACAATAGCGTCCTGACTTTTGTTAACTTATTGATTTTTGGAAATTTCAAAATCATCAAATTAACAAAAATGAGGACGCTATTGTAACAATATATTCTTGAGACTAAATAAAGCAAGAAAGTCTAATACCACTTTTTCTTCCGACAAATAGTTAGCGAGATATCGTAAATTAAATATTGAAAAAGTTATTAAGTTTTCCTCAAATATCTCAAAAAATATTAGACAAATAAAAAAATGTTTTGGACAAAAGTTGATCAAATTAACTAGTAGAAAAGAACAGTGTAATAAAAAATAGAAGTTCTTATTTAAAAAACGCAAGTTGACCTTCGCAAAAACTGTATATACACATATATGTATGTATGTATATATATATGTATATATGTGTATATATATGTATATATGTATGTATATAGTATGTATGTATATATATATATATGTATGTGTATATATATATATATATATGTTTAATGTTTACCCGTATAGAAATCTGCAATAATATTCGGCAGCGAGCTTGTACAATTTTGCGTATCAATAAAATCGGAAACCCTTACATTTCTTTTAATTTCTCCATGATACTTTCTATATTCTAGTCTCTATTCTATATTCTCTTTGTCTTTCTTTCTCTCTATCTCTCCTCTTCTTTGCTCACGAAATAGAGAAGCTCACTTAAAGGCATTGCGTAACATTAAAAGCTATTTGCCTCGAATGCTGTCGAGGACGTTTCCGTTTATGTTTACAAACTATCACGGTCTCATCGACGGTGTCGACCGCTGATCCTGGCCGACCAATATCGTCGCGATCCTCGCTTCTCGAACGTACACAAGTCGAACATGCCACAGTCAAACACGCGCTGCGGACCGGTGCGTATACTTTTCAAACGGCTCAAACTTCGCGACATCCGTCGTCCTCTTTGTACATCGCCTTCATTTCTCGAGCATCATTCAAGCATCTCGAATTCTACCTCGAAATCCGAGCGTTTGACACCGGACGGACGACTGGCCAGGCCGTGCCAGTGGACTGCTTTCGGTAAATAGACAACGTACAGGAAAGCCCGACGTTCAGAGCTCGTTTGATTTATCGTAGGCTCCGACTCGCCCCGAAGCGACCCTCGCACGGTCGACGTTATTCGTCGAGTGATTCACCGATGTCCCTTATGTGGCATGTGAGAGTATTTCGAGAAAATTTCGCGGACACGAGAATTTATTTGTTCCGTAGTGAATTTATTTGTTCCTTAGTAACTCGATCCCGTGCCAATAACAGTTCGGTCGCGGACGCTAACGATCTTTCCGATAATTGGAGCACCGTCTTCTGAACAATTCACGCACGAGAGAACCGGCACTCGCGGCCGCGATAGATTTGTATTATCGTCGAGCTCGCGAGAGACGGAGCTCTCGCTCATGCCGAGAGCGCGCTCGAGAGAGAGAGAGAGAGAGAGAGAGAGAGAGAGAGACGCGCGCGTATTAATCCTTCAGGCGTCCCCGTTTCTTCGCTCGGCTTGTTGCCTTCGAGTTGCCTCGTGGCTCGACGTCGTTTCGACGTAACGTTTGGTCGGGAGGGCGCCGCGACACCGCGGCAACTCACGCAATAAGAGACCGCGAGATCCGTCTGTCGACGGTACTGTTGAGGAGTTCTCTCTCTCCTCGGTGCCATTAACGCGCGCGTATTGCCTCGATAATATCGATCGCGCGAGGGTCCTCTATGCCGCGCCGCGTCGCGCCGCGCCACGCCGCGCCGCGATCTCAGCCGATATCGCATCGAATGCGTTCGTCCGGATTAATTAAACGTAACAGGACACACTCTTTGCCTCCGATGAGGTTCGCCAGTTAATAAAATTTGAATTTCAAATTCCGTCGCCGCGAATCGGCCGGGGTGGCGAAACGAGCGTTGAACGGCGGCGGTTATCGGCGGTCGCTGGCATTAAATGTTTGGCGATCTTTCTCTCTTTTCTCTCTCTCTCTCTCTCTCTCTCTTTCTCTCTCTCCATCCTCTATTGTATCGATTGCAGCGCACGTTGTGTAATTCGGCAAAAAGGTACAATCGATATGTTCGAGCCGTGCGTGCAGGCGCCGAGCGCGTCGCTCAATGACGTCGAGCCGGAGACGCCGCGGCAGCAGCAACAGCAACAGAAAATCATGCTCGACTACAAGTTGTTCGCGAGCACGACGCTGCATTTGGATCAGAACAATAACAACTGCAGCATTAGCAACAACAACAACAGCAACAGCGGCGGCGGCGGCGGCGGCGGCGGCAACAACAATAACAATAACAGCGGCAGCGTGCAAGCGCCGGATCGGTAAGAACGGGGCAATCGCAGCATCTTTCATGCGATCTCGCGGCGAGGACGGAGCGAATGATAATAGCCGCCGCGCGCGCAACAGATGCATGGGCGAGGGGAGAAATTGATGTGCCCCGCTTTTATTCGACACTGCTAATTCGGATCGGGACGGGGATTTCGATCGCGACATGATCGTGGTCCCGAGATTTATTTATTTATTTGATCCTGCGGAAACGACGACGGCTTGACATTTCGCGACGAACGTGCGAGCGGCCGAGGTTCGAGAAGATCGTTGGCGCACCTATTGTTGCGCGGGAGCCTACGATTTGCGGCGAAACGACAATAGCGACGCGCGTGTGTTTCGCGCGCGAATTAATGGGGAAAAGTGGTTATTGCTCGCCGCATATCTCCCGCGCGTATTGATTTTTGCTTTTTTTATTTTACAATCGGTTCGAGCACGTACGTGTACACCGACTGCGCGCCGGGGCCAATGGCGACGCGACTACAGGCGCGGAGTACATGCGCGAGCGAGAGCGAGGCTGTATAACAAAAAAAGAGGCTGTAAAAAAAAAAAGAGGGAAAAAGAAGAGTATATAATACTTTGCGTATTTGCATTTTGATTTTCGCTCGATCCTACAGCTGGATTAAAGCGCAACAACGCGACATCGACGCGAGCGCGTGCGGGGCTCGGTAGAGCGGAAAAAAAAAGCGGTTGCTGTTTTAGCTCGTATTTGCGTGCCGATTTTTATTCGATTTAATTTCAATTTGTACGGCGTTTCCGCTCATTTGCCGACGCGGGCGCGATTAAACACCGTGCGATTTCGCGCGGCACATTTTCACTGTCCCGCGACTCGCACCTCATTAAAATGTAACACCTTATCTAATCCGATAATTGGAACGAGCGATTGTTCCGAAACGTTTGATTTCACCTCTGTCTATATGTGTGTCTATACGCGTGCGTGTGTGCGTGCGCGTGTGCAAAGAGAGGCTGTTTACTTCTTTTCCTGAAGAAGATACGCGAGCCGAGCAAAAAGCCGCAGCGGTCGAACAGCTGTAGCGATCACGCTTCGCGTGCGGAAATTATGCTGTGTACACGTGACTGACGTCGCTCGAATAATTCTTACGGTTCGCTTTCAGCAGAGCGCTCTTTGGTTACCAAGGCGAACGACTCGATAGCAATCACTTGTAGCATGAGCGATTCAATAAGGAAAACAACTGACGCTTCGTGTTTTGATACGTTGAATTTTTCCCCGGCGCGGCGCGGCGCGGCGCGGCGCGGTACGGTATCTGCGTTTTCGCGCAAGGTAGTTTAAGCGAAAAAGCGGTTACGAGATAAAAGACTTAATGCAAAAATGCATCAATAAGCGAACGAGATAATTAATAATTAATAAGGTAGGCAAAGCTCTCTCTCGCCTAAGTTTTCCGCTCTTGCCGAGTTCGTTTGAGAGAATCGATTATAAAGGCAACTTTCGCGCTCAGCTCTTTTCCTCGCTCAGCTCTTTTTAATTGGTTGCCCGCCCCAGCATCGTGCCCCTTTAGCCAATTAGTACGTTGCAAAAAATGCCACGATATCTTCCCATCGGGAATTTTCCATCGGCATTTTTTTTCTCCCCCCAATGCAAATTTTTAATCGACTCGCTCCTTCCCGCTAGCATGAATATCGCGGGCGTTTATGTAACTTTTCATTTAAAAAAAAAAAAAATTATTCCGTTCGTTCGCGCGTTTTAAACTTGCCATTCTGATGTATTTGTTATCAATTAAAATAAGAGCATTTGGCACGCCAAAACGAATGCTTTCGATTCTTTTTTAAGCATCTATTTTTGTTTTGTTCAACATCTCCTATCTTTATTTTAACGCGCGAAGCGCGTTTAAACAGAACGCCTTATTGAAAACGATGCGGAGCGAACGAGAGGGAACCGTAATTTAATCAACCATTTCGCGCAAAAATTCCGCATTTTTAATCTATTGCTCAATTTTTCGCAATGCTCCTCTCTATGGCGTTTGATTCGCGACGCAAAGACGCTAAGGAAAAAGGAAAGATTGCGCAAAGAACACCAATGTGGAAAGCAAAATTCTTCCTGCCCGTGGAAAACGTTTGTTTAATTTTCAACGTTTTGCACCCTTTGTGCCTCATAATACCCTCCAACTGCTCGTTGTATTTCCCGGTGAGCTGTGTCGGAATTAAACGCTTAGCGACAGACATTCTAGTCCACCGAATGGATCATTCCTCGAAGGGCCGCGAGCAAGGAATATGCATATAACACCGGTTGCCGTTAAGTGTTCCGTTCTCTCTCTCTCTCTCTCTCTCTCTCCCCCTCTCTCTTTTGTGCATCACCTCTGCTCTGGCAATGGTGGCAGAGGAGTCGTGAGCAAGAGTCGTTAAAGAGTTTCGCGCCATCGAGTTTTGGTCGACTTTCCCCGTCTCCCTTCGTTCCGTCATTCCGTTCTCGCCTCTTCTCTCCTCTCCTCTCCTCTCCTCTCCTTTCCTCTCTTCTCTTCTCTTCTCTTCTCTTCTCTCTAGCCAAAGCTCGCTTACATTAACGAAGTTGCGACGGTAGCAGACAGTAACCTGTCGAGGCTGTAGGTGCGCACCTATCAGTTTGATTATCTTCCATTTAACACCATCATGTTGTCTAAAAGGCAACGAGGATGGATAAAACGAGGACGAGGAGAGGAGACACGATGAGAAAAAGAGCTCTCGCTCTCGCACGCCTCAAGATGGAAGGGTGACGGAGAGCTTTCCCGCGGATTACTTTCGTGACCAAAATTGCAAAGAGAAAGTTTTTCTTCGGCATGGAAGTTACCGACGGGCACGAGGGGTGGGGGGGGGGAGGGGAACGGGTCGCCCCGGTTATATACATTACGATGTGCCTGCGCAGTAAAATTAAAGTGCTCGTCAAACTTGGAAATTTCCGCCCGAGTGAAATCCACGAAATCGACTTCGATTCTTAGTTAGTTAGACTTAAGTTAGACTCAAGTTCGCGCTCTCCTTATTGGTGTTTGAGAACTATTACGATACGATTCCCCGACGTTTCTGGACCTTCTCGAATAATCCCCCGTGGTGTCGCGGACTCTCGTGAAAAATTCACCACGGACAGAATATACTAAGATACTCGGCGGCTCATCGGCGTAGCGCGAAAGAACGGCGAGAATTCGACGCGTCCGCGTAGCGTAATCGCGTCCGTCGCGATTGTCTCTAATTTCATTCGATTATCCATCGTGCGCTGGCGATCCGATATATCCCGGCCACCCGCGACGGCCACCGCGCCGTGCTATCCTGCATGCCGCGAAATTTTATTTCCCCCGTTAATTAGAACGTGCGCGTGCGCAGCTAGCCGATAACTTGAGACGAAAGCGCACGTTTAATCGGTTAATCATGAAGAACGCTTGGACGGTTTTCTCTTTATCTCTCTCGCTCGCACGCGCGTGCACATACACGCGCCACGTGTTAACGAAGTTGTCGTCACCACGATGAACCCGGGGGTAGACTCGCAATATCAGTTTGGTTATCTCCTGTTTAACGCCATTGTGTCGCGGCGGGTAAAGGGCGATAACGAATCAGCGCGCCTATGCGCCGTTATGTCTGTGGCTGTGTGTGTGTGTGTGTATGTGTGTGTGTGTGTGAGAGAGAGAGTGTGAGGGCGGGCGAAGTCGGTGGAGGATCGTCCCAGAGACGAGGGGACCGGCGAAGGGAGAGGGGAAAAACGGGACAATAGTGCTTGGGGCACTGTGAAGATCCAGTAATTGAATTACACTCCGATAACCGCTTATCGCGAGCCGCCTTTCCCCTCGCCGCCCCCCCCTCTCCATCGCAGCCCTCTTTCCCTTCCGCGCGGCCTCGCAGCGGCAAAATAACTTTCGCTTATTGCGCGGCTCGGTCGTCCATCCGTTCCCTCGCAGGGCCGCATCGAGCGCGAATCCGCATAGTTCGCGTTTCGTATCTCGCAAACGCCGGCGAGATAGACCGGAAATGGGACTTCTCACTAACTGTATTTCTCCTCGCTCGCACACACGCGCGCGCGTGGAGGAAGAACGGCAAAGGACACTCAAGAGTACACGGCGCGTGGGTGTAGGCGCGTTTAAAAATGTTAAATAAATTTTCCACGGAGGGGCCGCGCGCGTGTTCGGTTAACTGCTTTCCCCCCATCCTCAGTCTGTTTCTCTCTCTCTCTCTCTCTCTCTCTCTCTCTCTCTCTCTCTCTCTCTCTCTCTGTCTCTCTCTCTCTCTCTCCCTCTCTCGGTTGCTTCGTTTGCTTTTTCCCGGCGCGCATCGGACGCGCCTCCACTACCTTTTCCTTCACCCGGCCGATCCGGCGAGCCGGCGAACGGCTCGCAAAATAATTAGTTCGCTTACGAATCTCTCCGCGGGTATATATCGGCCAGACAGAGGGAGGAAATTAAATTCGTGCCCCTCGTATAATCCACGCTCGTGCCGAATCGACTCGTTCCTTTGATTCCTTTGATTCGACCGCGCTCTTCCGCGATTAATTATCGTCTATAAACGCGCGACGCGGCCGGGCGTACCGTACGATGTGTGTCTTTTTCAACACACGAGACCGCCGCGTTCGCGCGCGCGCGCGCGCGCGCAGAATATCTAATGAAGCTTTTTGCCGAGACCGTTATGTATCTCCGGTTGCGATGATGAAATCGTAGAAAGGAATTGCGAAAGGGATGAAATTACCAGGAGCTTGCTTTTGCTAGGTAATGAAAATCCGCCATTGACGGATCCGCGAGTGATCTTCCAATAATGTAGATATTGCCGTAATGCTGCGGGATAATTAAAAAAAGTTTTTATCTAATGTAATGAGAGAAACAAAACTCGCGCGAACGCAGATTCGCCGAGAGATAGCGCGCGATTTTCATTTCATATAAATGCGCGCCTAATTAGCGAATTACAACAGGATCTGAAAGAACCCGAGAATATCGCATTTGATTTCAATAAATTTCCAATCGCGTTTTATTTTTCCGGGACGGGAAATTTAATTTCGGATTCATGTACCGAGAATATTTCACATATG